GGGTCACCTGCTGCCTGTGCCACTGCGGTCCTCCATGACCCTCATGTTCCACAACAGAACAGCTCCCAGTGGCCATGATTGTGCCAAGGGGCATGAGCAGCCAGCAGGGCCACGACAGCTGCCCGTCGGGCTGCGCCCAGGATGGGGCTAAGCCATATTTCCAGGGGTGTGGTCCTGGCCACAAGTCAGTCCTCAGCTCCAGGAGCTTGTCTCCGGTCTGAGTGAGGTGAGCCCCTGCCCCTGCCTGGCCAGAATCCCAAGAAAGAATCCAATAGAATAGCGACATCGAGGCAGGGCTGAGAGTGGCATGCGGTGAGCCAGGGATTCTTAGGGCGGGGAACGATTGTGAAAAGTGAACCAAAAATTGCTCTAAAAAATAAAGTCTAGTCCAGGCGAAGTGGCTCACGCCTGTAATCCCAGCACTTTGGGAGGCTGAGGTGGGCAGATCACTTGAGGTCAGCAGTTCGAGACCAGCCTGGCCAACATGGTAAAAACCCATCTCTACTAAAAATATAAAAATTGGTAGGGTGTGGTGGCACATGCCTGTAGTCCCAACTATTTGGGAGGCTGACACAGGAGAACGGCTTGAACTCAGGGGGCAGAGACTGCAGTGAGCCAAGGCTGTGTCACTGTACTCCAGCCTGGGCAACAGAGTGAGACTCCAACTAAAAAAAAAAACCAACAGTCTATATATACATAATGTTTAGTTTTTCTTTTTGGAGGCAAAGTCTCACTCTGTTGCCCATGCTGGGGTGCAGCGTGCAGTGGTTGATCACGGCCTGCTGCAGCCTCACCTCCTGGGCAGCAGCGATCCTCCTGCCTCAGCCTCCCGAGAAGCTAGGACTACAAGTGCAAGCCACCATGCCTGGCTAACTTTTTAAAAAATCTTTTTGTAAGACAGGGGTCTTGCCACGTTGCCCAGCTGGTCTCAAGCTCCTGGCCTCAAGTAAGCCTCATGCCTTGGGTTCCCAAAGGGCTGGGATTACGGATGTGAGCCACGCTCGGACCATGATCACACAAATGCTTTTGCGGGACCAACTCCTTTCTGAACTGTCCCTCCCTGTCCACCAGAGCTAACAAGAGCTATCTTTCCAGAAACCCCGGGGCATCAGCGACCACCGTTGGCCTGCCATCCTGTCCCCTGTCTGAAGCTGTGCCTGTGTCTGGAAGAGCCATTCACCCGCCAGTGACTGTCTTATGCCCGAGTTGCTGAGTTGGGCGGCTAGGGACTCTGGAGGGTGGCGGCCAAGCTGCTGCCGGTGGGGAGGTGGGGGAGATGGCCAGGCTGTATCCAAGCTTCGGCCCTAAGGCCCTGGGAAAGAGAATGTGGCGAGCCAGTCCCTGGGCTGTGGGACCCCGTCCACATCTGCCCTCAGCAGCCCAGACCACCTAGAGGGAGGCAATGGTGCCAGCAGGGACCAGCGGCTGGAGGGTCTTTGTGCAGTGTGGGGCACCCTTGAAAGGCCAAGTCCTTTCCCTTGCACCCACTGACCTTACCAGCAGCACTCACCACAGCCTCCCCAAGGGCTCTGTCCCTGCAGCAGCCTGTCAGCTCCGAGACAGAGCACTTCCTCCCCACGGCCTCACTGCCCACCCCAGGGAGACTGTGGAGTGTCCAAGGGGAACCCGGGACCCCGCACTGTCTCCTTGGGAGGCAGCCGGTGCCAGCCTGGCTCACCCGAGGCCTGGCGCACAGCAGGGCTTCGTGCCAACCCCATGCCCCTGGCACTCTTGCCCGAGAAGTGGGGTCTCTGTCTCTCTCACATCCCTCTGTCTCCCTCTGTCTCTCTCCTTTCTTCTGTCTCTCCCTCTCCCCCCGTCTCTGTCTCTCTCCCCCTCTCCTCCGCTCTGTCTCTCTCTTCCCACTCCTCTCTGTCTCTCCCTCTCTCTCTCTCCTGCTCTCTCTCCCTTTCTCTCTCTGTCTTTCTGTCCCCCCCACCCCTTCTCTCTGTCCCCCCCCTTCTCTCTGTCCCCCCCCCTGCTGACTGCAGGGTGACCCTCGAGTGGGCGCCCCTGGCCTGGGTCCCCACCCCGCCTGTGCTCTTGCGAGAAAAGCCCGCCCCGGGCTCTCCCAGCTCCAGGAGAAAGGGAGGGGCGCGGGGTGTCGGCGGTGTCCCCTCCCCCAGCACGCGGGGTGTCGGCGGTGTCCCCCCCCCAGCACCACCGGGGGTCCCGGCGCCGCGCGAAGGACAAGGCCGCCCCCTGGCGCTGGCGAGCGGCGCTGCAGCTCCCGGGACCAGCTCGGAGCCCTCGTGGGGGTGGCGCGGCTGCGGGGGCGGGGCGGCGGATGCGAGAAGGGGCAGGGCTGGAGGGGGCACCGGGGCAGGGCGGGGGCAGGTTCTGGGCGCGGTGGACCCTGCTCTAGGGGCCCTCCGGGCGGCACTGGCACAGCGCCCAGCCTGGGGCTGCCCACGCCCCCCACGCCCCTATGTCCTCCACCCCTGCACCCCAGGGACCCCGCAAACAGGCGGTGCGAGCCCCCGGACTCCGACTCTGCGGCGCCCCTGCGCATGGGCCGCCTCGGGAGTCCCGGTTCCCGCAGCAGCGCGGGCCTCGGGCCGAGGTTCCCGAGCCAGGGCTCCACTTCCCGCTCAGCGGACCCCAGGAGTAAACTGAGGCACACAGAGAGCAGGGTGCGCCGGGGTGCAGGAGCCGCACAGGGAGGATGGAGAATCAGCCGGACCCAGGCGGGGACCCAACCGAGCCGCGGACCCCAGGGAGGTCGGGCGCTGGTCCCGGGCCGGGGGCGCCCCTTGCTGGCCACGCGGCGGCCGTTTCCCCCCAACTCCCGACGCCTTCGGGGTGGGGGGGGTCCCTCCCCAGCGTGCCTTTCCCTGTTCCATCCCAGGACCGGGCGGCAGGGCGCGCACTCCTACCTGCAGGGACGCGGGGCGCAGTGGGAAGGGGCGCTCTCTCCGGGTCTGTCTCCGGGGGTCAAGCAGGCCCAGGCGGCCCTGCAGGCATCCAACCTGCCTCAGTCTCAAACAGGGAGAAGGCTGGGGCGAGGGGCCTGCTCGGGACAGTCCAGCTGGAAGGAGTGGGCAGCAGTGGCCACCTGCCCACGCCCTGCCTGAGGCCTGAGTGTCCGGACTGCGCAGGAGGGCCTGGGCGTCCCCAAAACACAAACCCTAGCCCTGCGCCTCGGCCCTCCCAGGGTTGTGGGTAGGCAGCCACGGAAGGGAAAGGGTTATTTGGTCCCCAGTGTCACCCAGGGAGGGAGGAGACCCAGCCACCGATGAGAACACTTCTGAGGACTGGGTTTTAGGACAGCAGCGTGTGCCCCTCTGTGATGATGGGGTGCCTGCCTGGGTTACATTCAGCTTGTGCCCATCAGAGACACACTCACCCCCCCCCCACACACACACACTGCACAGCGCAGCACTACAGACCGAATGGAAAGAACTTTCCAGAGACCCCAGAACACTGGAGGCCGTCGCCGGCCGGCTCACCCCATTCTGTGTCTGGGAAGACCCCAAAGACAATCATTCAGTGTCTTCTCATGCCGTTGCTGAGAGGCAGTTGGCGGGGTGGACCTGCCCAGGGGGAAGATGACCAGGCTGTGTCCAAGCTGCAGCCCAAATGCCCCCAGAAAAGGACACCATGAGTCAGTCCCCGGGCTGTGGGGCTCCCACCTAGAGGGAGACAATGCGTCAGCAGGACCAGCGGCAGGGGCTTCGTGCAGTGCGGGGCACCCCGACATGCCCCCTCCTTACTAACCGCTGCCTCCCTGAGGGCTCCGTCTGCCTGCAGCCTGGCTGGGCCACCCACGTTCACCTCCATGACACGGCACTTCATACCCACGGTCTCGAAGCCACATCTGGCACCACCCCAGGCTCCCCTCCCCCAGCACCCAAGCCCTGCCTAGAAGGCTGTTAGCCTTACCCGAGGCTTGCTCTCACACAGGCCCAGGCCCACACTGCAGGTTGCAGGGGGAGCTCTCTCCGGGGCCCGCCCTCCGCCCTCCGCCCTCCTGATTCCTGTTTGGCCTTCTCTAGACCCCCGCCTGCCCCATTCCCTACCTGAGTACTCCTAGAGGCAGGTCCAGCCTGGCCTTGGTGTCCAGGAACCCTGCCAGGACAGAGGACAGAGCAATAAAACACAGGGGCCTGCCTGGGTCAGCCGAGACAGCGCAGCTGTCAAGAACGTTTTGTCAGAGATGCCCGGAGAGCCTTTCTCTCATTCCAACCAGAACAGCCCTGCCTGAAGAGAGCGCATGACGAAGCAAGTGACAGACGTGCAGACAGCCCCTCCCCGCCACAGCTGGTTCTGGGACAGGCACTCGGTGAGCCAGCCTGCGATCAGGAAGGCTTCTTCCTGGAAGAGGAGGCCTTGAGCTGAATTTTGAGGGATACAAAAGGAAGAGTTTGCCGGGGGTGCGAGACTGCCAAGAAGTTGGGGCCACGTGGGCAGAGGTTCAGGGGCGTCGGGGGCGTGGCCCCTGGCCATGGGCAGCCTGCTGTCCTGGGGACAGGGTGGCCTCAGCCACGACTGGGCTGGGCTTGAGTCTCTAGATGCTCAGAAAGGAGCTTGGACTCCTGCCTGTGGGTCAGGCTTGCCTTTGAGAAGGTTCCCGCTGAATGGGAGGCAGCTGCCGGAGGACCCGTGGAAGCATCTAGAAGGATGGGGCCAGCGCTGTGGGGTGTGATGCGGGTAGGGAACAGATCATAGTTGGAAAGGCGTTGGCACTGCAGGTACTGGAGCAGCCAAGCAGAGACCCCAGAGCCTCCCTGTCCGTACCCCCAGGGAGAGCCTCGCAGCTGTGCAGGCTCCAGGACAGAGAGTCTAGGACACCCCTTGTCCAGGCCTTGGGTCCCTGACCGCAGAGGCGTGCGTGCTTCCAGCCTGAATGCAAGAAGCTGGATGAATAAGGACAAACCCTCTGATTCCACTCCACAGTTCCCAGGGTCCCCAGAGCCACAGAGACAGGAAGTAAGAGGGAGGGGACGGGAGTGAGTGTTCAGGGGACAGAGCTTCGGATTGGGAGGATGGAGAGTTCTGGAGACGGAGGGCGGTGGCGGGTGCAGGACTGTCTGTGTGCTCAGGGACACTGAATCCTGCACTTGGAAGTGGTTAAGACGAGGCATTTTGTTATGCGTCTTTTGCCACAATTAAAAAAAAAGAAGTAAAGAAAAGGGGAATGAAAACATACATTCCTAATCACGGCCAGGGTGTGGTTTGATCTTTAATCATGGAAATGTCATATCTATTAAAAAGCTACATTTAAAAAATGGTAATGGGGCCAGGCGCAGTGGCTCGCGCTTACAGTCCCAGCACTTTGGGAGGCCGAGGTGGGCAGATCATCTGAGGTCAGGAATTCGAGACCAGCCTGCCCAATGTGGTGAAACCCCGTCTCTACTACAAATACAAAAATTAGCTGGGCGTGGCGGTGCACGCCTGTAATCCCAGCTACTCGGGAGGCTGAGGCAGGAGAATCACTTGGACCCGGGAGGCAGAGGTTGCAGTGAGCCGAGACCGCACCACTGCACTTCAGCCTGAGCAACAAGAGTAAAACTCGGACTCAAAAAAAAAAAAAAAAAAGTTGAGGACGGTAAGATTGGCCGACAGGAGTGATAGTGAGGAGGGGAGTCTAGGACGCTCCTTGTCCCCGCGCTGGGGACGAGTGGTCTCTGGAGCCCCAGGAGTGATAGTGAGGAGGGGAGTCTAGGACGCTCCTTGTCCCCGCGCTGGGGACGAGTGGTCTCTGGAGCCCCAGGAGTGATAGTGAGGAGGGGAGTCTAGGACGCTCCTTGTCCCCGCGCTGGGGACGAGTGGTCTCTGGAGCCCCAGGAGTGATAGTGAGGAGGGGAGTCTAGGACGCTCCTTGTCCCCGCGCTGGGGACGAGTGGTCTCTGGAGCCCCAGGAGTGATAGTGAGGAGGGGAGTCTAGGACGCTCCTTGTCCCCGCGCTGGGGACGAGTGGTCTCTGGAGCCCCAGATGCCAGAGTGGGATGGGAGACTGTTTCCGGCAACAGCTATGCCACGGCCTTAGAAGCTCTGGGAACACCTGTCATTCCACCAGGGGCTCAGGGTCCGTCCACGGTGGCCCTACCTGGTCCACTGTGAGTGACCCAGCCTGGACCCCGTCGCCCTGGCAGCCTGGGAGCCTCCAAAGGCAGGCGTGGGGACGCCCGTCAGGATGTGTCCCGGCCTCCATTTGTCCCAGAGCCTGTCCCGTGTAGACCTGCTTTCCCAGCAGAGCGTTTATTTCACTTCTCTTCAAACAGAAGCTACCCAGATGCTGGAATCGGGAGTTGGGACGAAAACGGCTGTCACTGTCACCTTCCAGCCTTCCTCACTGTACCCACCCTCTGCCTGCGCTCCCTGTCCATCCCTTTTGATCCCCCTTTTTTTTCTTTCTTTTTACTGTGGTAAAATACACATAACTCACCAACTTACTGTTTGTTTGTTTTTTTGAGACAGAGTCTCGCTCCGTAGCCAAGGCTGGAGTGCAGTGGCGCGATCTTGGCTCACTGCAACCTCCGCCTCCCAGGTCCCAGTTCAAGCAATTCTCCTGCCTCTGCCTCCTGAGTGGCTGGGATTACAGGCATGCACCCAGCTAGCTTTTGTATTTTTAGTAGAGACGGGGTTTCACCGTGTTGGCCAGGCTGGTCTTTAACTCCTGACCTGTGATCTGCCAGCCTTGGCCTCCCAAAGCGCTGGAATTACAGGCATGAGCCACCGCACCTGGCCCATCTTACAATTGTTAAGCCCATGGTTCAGTGGCCCTGAGCCCATTCACATGACCGCGCAGCTGTCACCTCCCTCTGTCCACAGAAATCTCCATCTTCCCCACTGAAGCTCTGTCCGCATGGAACGCTCAGCCCCCTCCCCAGCCCCCAGCACCCACCTTTCCACCTCCAGTCTCGTGGGCATGAAGAGTCACACAGGGGTTTGTCCTTTGGCTTCCTGACCCTGGCTGCAGCATGCCAGTTTCTCCTTTCCAGGGACGTCACCCTCCCAGCTTCCAACCAGGTCACAGCTCAGCAGCTCCCCAGGGGCTTCAGGCTTTCCCTTCCAGAGAGAGATGCTCCTGAGCCCCTCAGCCCCCCATCTCCTCCCTGCAAGGGACACTCTCAGCTGCCTGCGTTGGAAGTGGCTGATGCCAGCCCCGCCACCGTCACCCTCACCCGCCCTCCCTGGGGTCTTCTGAGAGGCAGCGAGGCTGTTTCTCCGTGGCTGGTGGGCAGCACAGAGCTTGCCGGGGCATGTATCAGCAGCCTCAGAAAGGTCTGCCCCACCGGCAGGTCCAACCAGAGGGTGGCATTTGAATTGTGCGTGTGCACAGATTCATGTGCAGGGATGTCCATCACAGCATTATTTACATTAACGAAAAGTTGGCACCAACTCACACTCCAGTCGGAGAAGAACAGCGGGGTGAATGATGGTGTGTCCGAGCTCTGGGACACACCATGGCCACTGAACCAGATTCATGAGGGGTACTTGGACTTGGGAAAACGTTCATTCCATAAGGTCAAGCAGGGAAAAGCAGAACGCAAGCCTGTGTATGTCCCGTGAGTCCTATTTTGAAATTCAGTAAAATAAAGCCTTTCACCAGAGGGAGAGCAGGGGCCGCCGTTGAGCGTCCCGGGCTGGGCTGGAGCCCGATCTGCGCAGGGCCCCACAGGGATGCGTGCGGAGGGCTTCACAGAGACCCTGCACCAAGGGTGGGGGGAATGAGGTGGGGTCCCGAGGTGGGTTCAGGCAGCAGCCAGGGCCTGGGACTGCATCGTGATTCAGCCCACGCTCAGCTCAGGCACGTACCAACCTCCTCCTCCTTCCTCTCTCTCCATCTCTTTCATTTCTGTGTCTCTGTCTCTCTGTCCCTCCCTCTGCCTCTCCTTCTCCCTCTGCCTGTCTCTGTCTCTCTCTCTGCATCGTCTCTTCCTCATCCACTAGAATGATGCAATAAGCAGGTTTGACTCTGGCTGAATTAGATTCACTAAATTTTACAAAAACACCCACAAAATTTTGATTCCACTTTTAAGCACAAACACCTGTGTGGGTCTCCTGGCGTCATTGTAGTTTGCCTGGGTTTGGGGCTCCTGCGGGACGGGGCGGCCTTCTGCCGTGGCTGAGTGAGCCTGGGCGCAGCCAGGGACGCCTGAGAGGCTCCGTTCCCGCAGTGCGGGTCCTGCCTCCAGCCCGTGGTGTGGAGACAGGCCCATTCCCCCAGAAAAAGACCTAATCCTGATTTAATCAGGAACCTTAGGCAGGCACGGGTGGGCTCTGAGGGGTGACATGGATAGAAACAGCCATTCTGAGCACATTTGGGTTCTCATTGGTCTGGAAAAGACACAGGGGGACGCAGGTGGAGGTTGGTGGAGCCAAGCAAAACCAGGGTGGAGTTTTTTCCGGATGGTGCTTCCCGGGTCTGGCTATTCAGGAGGCTGCCCCAAGCCAGACAGCAGTGGAGTCGAACCCTGTGCCCAGCTGACAGAATCTACTTCCACGTCAGGGAGTGGCCACAGCAGTTCCTCGGGTGGAAACACAGCTGGTTCTCAGCGCCCACCTCGGACAGCCTTCCGCCCCAGCCTTGGTGTCCCGTGCCCCCCTGGGTTGGTGTTCACAGGATTTATCATTTCCCAGCCTCTAGATTACTCTGGGGCTGATTAAATTAGCGAATGCAATCACAATCTGAAGCAAGTTAATTGAGAGAATTTATTGGGACCTGACAGTTTTATGCATGTTTGATTAAGTATTATAAAGTTTGTTTTTTATTTTGCATAATTTAACTTTAAATCCTGTGTGTGTGTGTGGAGGGGGCATCAGCCATTAATGACCAAAATAAACCTCTTTTAAGATGTATCTTTTTATGATTTATTTCTGAATGCAATATCTTCCAGATTTTTTTTTTACGCTATTGCCAAAGTGACAAATATGTTTAAATTTTGAGCCATCCCATTCAGGCTATAAATCTTCCAGAATGTATACGATTCATTAAAAGTTTTGAAAGAAGTACAAGTTAGCATTTCTATTGCAACAAGTGACATATAAATGCGTATGTTTGTCTTCCAAGAGTGCCATAAAATATATCCCCCGTGTGAGCTCCCCGGAGCCATACCAATCGTCCATGCTCTGGGGTAATGATGAACTTGGCCACAAATCTTCACTGCTGTCAACACGAAACTGTTCAATCAACAGGAGTATGAGTTGTGTGTTTTGTGAAATTAGCACAGGAGACAATACAGCCCAGGCCTGGGTCTAGGGACATTGGTGGCACTGGGAGGGCCTGAGCCCAAGGTGAGTGCTAACTTGAATGCAGGCTTCCTAAGCCCCCTCTGTAATCTGAGTCTGGGTGTTAGGAGGCCACTTGCATCAGGCGGCCAAGGGTCTTCTGCCCAGGGAAGTCCAGAGCCACCAAGAAGATGGGCAAGGAGCCCTGTCCTCCCCACGCGGACAGGCTGGGGTTTCCGCGCACAAGCCAAGCCAATGGCCTGCATTCCACGAACATCGCTGCTTTCCAGTGGTGGAGTTTATCAGCACTTACTCCACCATTGTGTGTTCACAGCTTCTCCCATGAGTGATCCCAGAGACAGTAAGACCAAAGCCTCAAGGCCGCGTGTGACCCACCCTCGAAGCTGCACCATCTTCCTGCCTTGCCCTCTGGCTCACACAGGTCACCCTATCCAGCGTGGTGGGGACTGCACAGGGGCAGGAAGCCGTTGTGGGCCACCTTGGGGGCTGGCTCCCCATAAGCTGGGACAGGCCCTTCTCTGCGGGCTCCATGCAGGCCAGCAAAGCTGGTTCCTACAGCATCCCTCTACGCCCATGTGTCCTTATCCCCACTTTATAGATGCAGGGACTGAGGCTCAGAGAGGCTGAGATTTTGCCCACGGCGAGGAAGCGGTAGAGCTGGGAGTCACATCGGGCAGACGGGGTCTGGAACATTTGCTCTGGGCCACTCTGCACAGCCGTCCATAAATAGTCAGCTATTTCTGTGGCGAATAAAATGTCTGCCTGACATGGGGACATCTGCCAGGGGAGGCAAAGCTGTTTATCCTGAAGGCAGCC